AAAAAAAAAAAAAAAAAAAAAGAGGAATTTGATCCTGTTATCTCTGAACCTAAAAACAGTAGCTTCCAGTTACTTGTAGGATAAAAAGAAATTTTCACATTCTACAAGGCCCTCCATGAAGTGTGCCTATAACTTACCTCTTCAGATTTCTACTTAATAGCTTTTCTTCTGCCACAGAGCTCCCTTTCTGGTACCTAATGGGTGTCATACTCTTCCTGATGGAGCTTTCACATGTGCAGCTTCCTTCACTTGAACAGCAGCTGCCCATCAATCCCTATTGTATGTTTCATAGTGCCCTGTATCTGTCCACAAATGGAAGGGCTTGCTTCTTTAACAGAAACTACACATGCTTCATTCATCACTGTGGTCCCACATCCTACCTCACAGTAGGAATTCAAATAGCTGATAAATGAATTCAGGAGCTTTTAGCATTGAGTAGCCTTATGGGAATCTGAAATGGTCTACAGTGAGAGACTTGGTCTTGGTGAACTAAAGAAATTTTGTATCCACAATATGCAATTTCTCATGTAAGAAGGTGTAGAAATAAGTACATTGGCTGGGCACAGTCGTGGTGGCTCACGCCTGTAATCCCAGCACTTTGATAGGCCAAGTTGGGTGGATCACCTGAGGTCAGGAGTTCGAGACCAGCCTGACAAATATAGTGAAACCCTGTCTCTACTAAAAATAGAAAAATTAGCCAGCCGTGGTGGCATGCGCCTGTAGAGGAGGTTGAAACAGGAGAATTGCTTGAACCTGGGAGGTGGAGGTTCCAGATCCGAGATCGTGCCATTGCACTCCAGCCTGGGCAACAGAGCGAGAACTTCAAATAAATAAATTAATTAATTTTGTCCTACTCAGCAGTCCTCTTTCAGGGGTAAAAGTGTAATATTGGGGTTTAGGGCTTCAGGGTGCCCTCAGCTCCCCTGAGAGGATTTTTCTCCAGGTTTTTGGTCTCCTGCCCTCTCAAGAATGAGAAAAAGGGGACCACGATGCAGTGTGCAGTAAATGCTGGACTTAAAAGTGTTTGTAGAAAGTGATTTATTTAGAGAGAAACCAGAGAAGGAGAGAGAAAGAAACAGCTAACTCTCACACTCAATGAGAGAATCCAGAAAGATGGAATCCAGGAGAAAAAAGCAGCTTCCACACTAAGTGGAAGGGAATAGAGAGAGAAATCGAGTTTAGGAGGGGAAGACAGGCTTCCACAAGAGTGTATGGAAGGGGACCCCAGAAGGGAAATCCAGGAGAAAACATAGCTTCCACGAAGGGAGTGTTTGTGGAAGGGGACCCAACATGGAGTCCGAAGGGCTGTAGAAGAAGGGGACTTTTAACCTGGGAGGAACCCCCACCTTCTCTAAGACCCCTGGCCAATGAAAGTATTTCTTCAGAACTTCCACTGCAGTGATTGACTTTGTTTCTTCCTGTGCCCTCGAAATTCAAACAAACCCGTTAAATCTCCCGGATGTAGAGAGATGGGAGGGGGGCATGGTGCTAGGAAGTTCTTGCCCTTAAAACTATGCCTCCTTGTGGACCCGGAAGAACACATTCCCTGAAAAGGATTTTCTACAGGGAACGTCTATGCAATTCTGCAAGGCTTTTTCTCCTGTGAGCAGCTTATTTTACTATCTAAACTGCTGTCCAAGAGAGTAGCCACTAGCTACATGTAACTAATTATGATTAAACTCAGTTTCAGTGGCATAAGCCACATTTCAAGTACTCAATAGCCACACGTGACTAGTAGCCACAAATTGGACAGCACAGATATGGAACACTTCCATCATTGCTAGAAGTGTTATTGTGCAGTGAGATGTGAAACTCTTTTACAGAAAATCTAATTTGTTTTCTTGTTCTGCCAATGAGATGGAAATCAAAATATGCTTATTATTCATTTGTTTTTTTGAGACAGAGTCTGGTTCTGTCACCCAGGCTGCAGTGCAGTGGCAAGATCTCGGCTCACTATAACCTCTGCCTCCTGGGTTCAAGCGATTCTCATGCTTCACCTTCCCGAGTAGCTGGGATTACAGGCACACACCACCATGGCAGACTAAGTTTTTGTATTTTTAGTAGAGATGGGGTTTTGCCATGTTGTCCAGACTGGTGTTGAACTCCTGAATCAGTCTGCCTGCCTCAGCCTCCCAAAGTGTTAGGATTACAGGCGTGAGCCATGCACCTAACATGTTAAACTTCAATGTTAAAATTGGTTGAAATATAGCACAGAACCACCAGAGATTTTGGTGAGGCCAGCAAAATCTGCAGAATTTTTCTTGGCTGTGCATAGTAACTTGCAGATCACAAGAAAATCCCAGCATCTCTGCCTTGTTTTCCCTTTTGGAAAACAGAGACAGTCTTACCTCCCTGGGGAATACTGAAGCCAACATAAGCCTTATGTACTTAACCACTGGTTGGAATAGTGTGCATGGACAGGTTAACTTCTGTATATTTGTCAGTCCACTTGCCTGAGAAATAAGGGAAAACTTTGCTTCACCTGTCAAAATTGTTTTTGAGATGGAGGTTTGCTCTTGTTGCTCTAGCTGGAGTACAATGGCACGATCTTGGCTCACTGCCACCTTCACCTCCCGGGTTCAAGTGATTCTCCTGCCTCAGTCTGTCGAGCAGCTGGGATTACAGCTAGTGCTCGACTTACGACCACGATTGGGACCGGCAGACCGGTCATAACACGATTTGGTTGTAAGTTGAGTAGGCTATATGTACAGTTGAAATGGTGCACGCGGAGATGGTAGTGCTGCCGGAAGCTGGTCCGCACTGTCGTACACCCAGCTGGGCAACGTTTGCGCTGCCAGACGTGGAGCAGTCGTGGCTAGCGATTGTGGTCGTAAAGTCGAATGGTCGTAAGTTGCATACCTGTATAGTCGAGCACCACCATGCCCAGCTTTTTTGTGTTTGTGTATTTTTAATAGAGACAGGGTTTCTCCATCTTAGGCTGGTCTCAAACTCCTGACCTCAGGTGATCCTCCCATCTCAGCCTCCCAAAGTGCTGGGATTACAGGCATGAGCCACTGCACCTAGCCTCAATGTTATTTTAAGTACATGAAGTCAAATTGAGTTAATGTGATAGGTCCTAGGAGACTATCTAGCTTAGCCTTTTTCTAATGGAGGGATTACTCCAAGAACTACTACCCTGGTTCTGCTAGCCTTTAAACTGGTTTAAGAGCATCTCTGGGCCGGGCACAATGGCTCATGCCTGTAATCCCAGCAGTTTGGGAGGCCAAGGCAGGCAGATCACGAGGTCAAGAGATTGAGACCATACTGGCCAACATGGTGAAACCCTGTCTCTACTAAAAATACAAAATTAGCCAAGCATAGTGGTGCACGCCTGTAGTCCCAGCCACTTGGGAGGCTAAGACAGAAGAATCGCTTGAATCTGGGAAGCGGACGTTGCAGTGAGCTGTTTTTGTGCCACTGCGCTCCAGCCTGGCGACAGGAGTAAGACTACATCTCAAAACAACAAAAAAACCCCAGCTCTGGTTATTTAGAGAAAAGGAGCCTCACCACCAGCTGTAGCAAATTTAGCAGTGTCTCAAGAATCTGGCTAACTTCTCACCACCTGTTACTGAAGCCATAGCACTCACTTCACTAAATCTTATTTTTTTATTTGTTTTGGAGACAGGGCCTCCTGTTGCCCAGGATGGAGTGCAGTGGCGTGATCACAGCCTGCTGCAGCCTTGACCTCCTGGGCTTGAGATTCTCCCACCCAGCCTCTTGAATAACTGGGACTACAGGCGTGTACCACCACACCCAGCTAAGTTTTTTTTTTTTTTTTTGAGACAGTCTCACTTTGTTGCTCAGGCTGGAGTGCAATGGTACCATCTCAGTGCACTGCACTCTCTGCCTCCCAGGTTCAAGAGACTCTCCTGGCTCAGCCTCCCAAATAAGCTGGGACTACAGGTACGTGCCACCATGCCCGGCTAATTTTTGTATTTTTAGTAGAGACGTGGTTTCACCGTGTTGGCCAAGCTGGTCTCAAACTCCTCACCTCAAGTGATCTGACTGCCTCTGTCTCTCAAAGTGTCGAGATTACAGGCATGAGACACTGTGCCTGTCCAAATAATTTTGTTTTGTTTTTTTGAGATGGAGCTTCACTTGTTGCCCAGGCTGGAGTGCAATGGCATAATCTAGGCTCACTGCAACCTCTGCCTCCTGGGTTCAAGCGATTCTCCAGCCTCAGCTTCCCAAGTAGCTGGGATTACAGGTGTCTGCCATCATGCCTGGCTAATTTTTGTATTTTAATTAATAGAGACAGTGTTTCACCATATTGGTCAGGCTGGTCTCGAATTCTTTGACCTCACCAGATCCACCTACCTCGGAATCCCAAAATGCTGGGATTACAGGCATGAGCCACCACACCCAGCCAGCCAACTAATTTTTTTTTTTAAGTAGAGGCAGGGTTTCAACATCTTGCCTAGGCTGGTCTTCAGCTTCTTCAGTGGGCTTAAGTGATCCGCCCACCTCAGCTTCCCAAAGCGCTAAGATTACAGGTGTTGGCCACCATGCCCAGCCTTAAATCCTTCCTACTATGTCTAAATTTCAGACCTCTATTAGTTTGAATTTTGTAGCTTAACAACTAGGAGAGAATCAAAAGACAGTAGTGGTAAATACCACTCACACAAACACAAAAAGATACTTAAGTGTTAGAAACGTTTATTTGTCAAAAAATTTTAAAAAAGGGGAGGAGTGGAGTAAAACAAGGCTAAATTTCAGCTAATGCTGTACCACGATCACAGGTCAGACATAGAAAACAAAACAAAACAAAACAACAAAACCCCCAATGGTCCTGCCAATTTCAGAAGATTTAACTTCAATGTTAGAGTCCAGAGCTAACAGAGGAGAGTAAAAGGCTGCTTGTCACTACATGGTCATTTTAAAGGGAAAGGAAATGCTGCAGGTAGGCAGGGAGAAGGATTCAACTCCTAGGGAAAGCAAGATAAGAGGTTCCACTGCACAGGAAAAAGGGGATGCCAGCATAATCCTTACCTAGGGCTGCTCAGAGCCTGAGAATATAAGGAACAGAGTGAAAAGCTACAGAGACTAGTATCAGGAGGAAAGAAAAGTCAACTTAGAAGAATTAAGAAAGAAAACATAGTTGGTCACAAACTCCTTTTGTTTACTGAAACATGAAGCAATGGAAACATCCCGGCAAAGGGGACCGCGCGGAGCAAGTTCTCATATATGACCGCAGCCCGAGGGTTCAGTCCGCAATTATCCTACCTGAAAGAGAGCACAACACAAGAGGCTTACACAATGCCTGGAGAGCAGCCTGGCTCCGAGTACAAGGGCCCTGGATCCCGTCCTGTATTGGGGGAGAGGGGGGACAAAGAAGAAAACAAAACCAAGTCAGACTGGATCTAACTCACATCCCATATAATTACCTAGGAGTCTAATAGCTATATATAGGAATCTACTTATGGGTACATATATAGGACAAGATGCAATCTAGCTGAAGAATGTGTTGGTTGTAAACCTTTCTTATCCACCTTTTAGGCAAGATAACCCCTGTGACAGAAGTCTACTGTTGCTGCAACAAAGGGCATATAAACATTATCAAGAACTGCAATTTAATTTTGGGGTCCAGGAAAAGCAGAAGATGCTGAGATGTCTTATGTGGCCAATTGCACTATCCTAAATGTTTTGTTTTAATCTTTCACAGTAAACAAGCTTTCACAAATGATGGTCACAAGGGTAGGGTATCAAGGAACAGCCAGCCAGTCATTCACCCAGTTCCACCACACCTACATGTCATCACACTCACAGAGTTAGAGCCATAGTTCCAGTAGTTTCCCTAATTGACCAAATCTCCCTTGCCAAATCAAAAGAAGAAATCACTCCTAGAATTCTCTAATTCTTCTACTGATGATGGGAACTCCAGACACCAATGGCTGGGGGAAAAAAAAAGTTAACTCACACCAAGTTCCTCTACTTATTACAGACAAAGGGCCAAATCTTGGTCTTGATCTGTGCCAATCGACTTCAAAAGTTGTGACGTTCTTGGATCAGTTCTGCTAGGGTGAGACCCGAATTTGGATCCCCAACAGTTCTGGAGTATTTCATCCTGGCAGCCTCATTAACATCAGGCTCCTGGGACTGCAACCAACTCAGGGTTATTCAGTCCATTTGAGGTTCACACCTGGAAGGTAAGTTTCTTTAAAAGTCATCACTAAAAAGAGGTTAGTTGAACAACCACTGCTTGCAGTCAAAATTCATTTAAAAATGTCCTAGCAATACCTTTTGAAGACCACAATATATGAATTTAATATTTAACTTTGAAACACCCTTGAGAGAAACAGGTTATCTGATAGATTTATACCAGCTTGCTTCAGAGGCATATCCCACCTCATGCTAGATCCAGCTGCATTAAAATAAAAATTAATGGCAAATTACAAATTTTAAGATCACTTCACACACATAAACACAGACTTGCTGCACAGTGGTCTCTATCAAGTCTTGGTGACATGCATATAGGGTACAACTTATTACAGGTTGTACCATATTTGCTTCTCAAGTCACATAAAAGAGCAAAGTCTACGGCTTTGTTTCTTAATTTCTTTTTTTTTTTTTTTTTTTTTTTTT